GGTGGGGCCTTCTCAGTGTGTTCATTTACTTCTGGATTTGCTCTTCCTTTCTGGGAAGGTGTTCGGCAAAAGCATGGGCTGCAGGCATGGGGAGGGCCTCTTGGAAACTGTTGGGTGCCCCAATGTGGCCGGCCTAGTGGACAGAGGTGTGTGCCCTCTAGCCGCACCCGCCAGCTTCTAGCCTGCAGTTGGGGTGAGCCTGGGTTCTGGGTGGACTGGCCCTGGACCTACAGGGCCCTCTGGCCTGTCTGCTCTACACGGTCTGCCTCTATGCGGAGGCAGACGACTGCCACACTGCATAAACCACGAGGCAGATGGCAGACGGGCAGCCTGGAGCCACTTCTCAGCCAATCCAGTGGCTCAGTGTCTTTAAAGCTGTTGCACCTGATACCACGTAGCTTGTATCCGCTGTAAGTAGCAGAATATCTGACTGAACAGTGTTTTAAGTTATAAAGAGACTGATTTACAGGAAGCCTCGTGGGTGCTTCAGGCCTGGGCAGCAGCTCCTGGGAGCCCTCCTTCCAACCCCATCCCACCACCCTCCACCCCCGAGGCCTGCCACCTGTGGTCGCAGGGCGGCGGACACACTTACGGGTGTGAGTCCACTCCTCAGCCTCCCCGGCAGGAAACCTGGGGTGGAGACACCTTCCAGTTACCACGAAGGGGAAGTTTCCGGGAGCCCCGCCCCACCTCCTGCCCCGTGGCCGAACGGGAGGGAAGATGGGACGGGGCGCTCTGCCGCCCAGGCAGCATCGCTGTGATGGAAGACATCTGCCCGGCATCAGCACGTCCGTCACCAGGGAGCTCTCCGCCGGCGCCATGGCTGATGTCACTTGGGAGGCAGGGTGGACGCTCCCAGCCCCCAGCCTTCACCCCCGCTGCGGGGCGTGGCCCCGGGGCCCACCCTGCACCCCTGCCTGCCTCGCGGCTCGGCCTCCTTGGCTTCTGCTTCACAGCCCTGCGCTGAGGTCTTCAGGTTTCAGGGTCCCAGCAGGAATCTTTCCTCACCTGTTTTACACCAAGCGGGCTTTGGGGGTAGAGTTGCGATGCCCTCAGTCACCCGGTGGGTTCACATCTGAGAGTGCTTGTTCCTGGGAACATTAGCAGAAGCACACCTCGCCCTGCTGGGCAGTCAGGTTTCAGGCAAGAGCCTGGAGTCTGTGGGCAATGGCTGCCACTCAGTGTCCTCTGTGCCGGCTACCCTGGTCCAGCCAGCAGCCGCCCGGCTGGTTGTGCGCCACCTGCTCCCACTCTTGTTGGCTTTGTTGGCCCTCATGAGACTCAGACCTGGTTAGTGCAGCTGGAACCACACTCTACTCACCTCTGAATCCCTTGCAGTTCAGCAGAGCTCCTGCTAAACAGTCAGTCCTCAGTAGGTGTTGTGAACTTGGTCCGTGGGCAGCTTGAGGTGTTTTGTTCTTTATAAGCCATTCAGAGGCGGGAGACCTGGAAAAGCACATGGTCTGTAGTTTGTACTCCACCCACCGACCTGTCTGGAACAGGCTGGCACGCACAGCTGGGCGTGAATGGCTGAAAAGCTCAGGGGCAGAAGGAAAGAGCGCAGAGCCGTCCTCGTGCAGGACTTCAGGGTTTGCAAAGCACGTTGGCCTTTGTTCCTTCATCTCAGCCTGTAAGGCATCACTCCCGCTTCGTAAGTGAGGCCAAGGGAGGCTGAGTGAGGTTCCTGGGGCCACTCAGCCAGTGAGGCCGGGCAGGGTCGGAGCTGCAGTTCCCACCTCCCAGCACTGGGGCAGGAGCAGACAGGACCCACCTCCGCGAGGGGGAGCAGGCTGGGGAGAAGATGAGGTTTTTGGATGGTCAGGCAGACTGGCTTTAGGGCTCGGGGAACCTACACTGGGTGGGCACCTCTGTCACGGGGTGGCTGTGTGGGGTCACTGTGTGCAGTGAGCGTTCAGGGGCCCAGACGGACCCTGGGGCGGGGGCGGGGCCCACCCCCAGCAAGTCAGCGGCAGCTGTGTGTCTCGGGAACTCCTCACAGAGAACTCCCGCCACACGCAGCGGGGGGCGCCCTCCTCGGACCCACAGCCGAGGCAGCTCCAGCCCAGGCGCTGACCAGGGCTTGATGTTGTGGGGCTTGGAGACCTTTTCAAGAAACCTCAGGTGGACTTTTCTTTTCATCGTGTGTTGAGTAAAGTAGAGAGATGTCACTTCTCTCTTTTTCCTCCCCCAGGACAAGACATTTCAGAGAAAGTATTAAATTCATCCACGAGTGCCGGCTCGGGGGCGAGGGCTGCCTCGTACACTGGTACGTGCACCTCTGGCCGGCAGCAGCAGCTGAGCAGTCCCGCTCCGCGCACGGAGGGCTCCTGCGTCTCCCCGAACCGCGGACACACACCCCCGACCCTGCTGGCTGTTAGTCACTGTCTCATTCTTTTTTCTTCTCACTCAGGATTTTCATTTTCTCAGTTGGGTTTCCACAGGGACTGTCTGGACAGCAGAAACCCCCTTTCCAGGGAACATACACTCAGCTCTGAACCCCAGTGGCTTTCACCACACTGTTTCCTTCTGGAGCTTTGACTGCATACACGGGCGGGTGTTCAGTGCTGCATTCCTGTCACACCAAAATGACCATTTCTTCTCCCTTGACAGGTTGGGGCTTTTGTGTGTGTTTGCCTTGTACTTTGAAGAGGACTGACTAGACTCTTAGAATTAAGCAGTTACATGCAGCCGTCCGCCTACATTCAGCTTCGCTTTGTGTGGGCCGTGTGCACACACCTGTGCACACACATGTTGTGCCGGGAAAGCTGTTCCAGCACACGTAGCTGCACCTGCCTGGCACACAGCAGGCACCCAGGGCAGGTCAGCTCTCATTTTATTACCACCAGCGCTTGTACTGATAACACAGCTAATAAGGGTAACATAAGCTGGTCTTTGCAGGGGTAACAGGTCCAGGGAACCAGCAGCCAGCATTCTGGGGCAGAGGGCTGCTGCCTCTTGAATGAGGTTCGAGCTCTTGAATGAGTTTACTGAGGGCGCAACACTCTCCTGAATTCCCCAAATGAGCGGCTTCTGCAGGAAGAGCTCTTGGCAGATGCAGGCGCTGTCTCCCGGGACAGCCACCGCCCGGACGAGGGGCCGGGGGTCCCCTTGGTGGTGCCCAGAGGAGCCTCACGGGAGCCACGGTCGGTTCTGAGACCAGCATCCCGCAGCAGGGGAGAGGGCACTGGACAGTTCGATGGCTGCTTGGCATAGTGTGGTTTCTCCTTTTACTTTTAGAAAGAGCAGGACATGTAATGAACACAAGTGCAGGTTTTGTGACACTCACTCGCGTTTGCTTCACAGCACTTCACGCTGCCGTCGGAGCCATTCCAGGGGTCCTGGGTGCAGTGCCTGGCGTTAGCATCTCCCCAGGTGCAGCCCAAGAGGATGCCTTTTTAAAACAAGCTCTCTCGATATTTCTGACACAAAGCCTGAGGGCAGAACCGCTACTTGAGAGCGGTTCTTTTATTTTTACTATTACTATTATTTATATTTGACTGTGTGCAGGCCTGATACTCTAGGAATTCGTATTTCGTAGAGTTGTGTAAATCTGAGCATAGGCCTTTCTAAAAATGAGACACTCGCTTACACTTCCCCATCGTAAACCGTTGCTGCACACTCCAAGTCTGACGCAGCACAACCCCTCTGTGACCGCCTTCATTTGCATGTGCATTTAAAATCGGTCCCCGTCCTCAGCCTGCTGGAGAAACTGCCCGTTACCGCCTGCAGAGCGTCCCCCCGCCCCCCCAGAGCACGTGGACTGTGCCTGCTCCGGTGCCCTGCCGAGGGGTGTGCAGAGCACGCAATGCTCAGCGAACTTCTAAGCTGTAGGCTTGGCCCTCATGTATCTAAGGAAGCCAGACCTAAAAAGTGGCACCTTCTAGACGGCTGCAGTTTGTAACCGGGCTTATTACTCAGACCCCCTTGCTTCCTTGACGGGCTTTAGTGATTGTGCTGCCCAGGGGAGTGGGAGCATCTGAGGAGGGGCTCAGGAACAGTAGAGGATCATAAAGCAAAGTGTCTGGAGCCAGAGCCAGTAGAAAACCAATAAAAAATGAGGCTCACACAGAAAAAGAATGCCTGAGATTCTAGCATCACCAAGTAGAGAGAAGCCGGTGTGTTTCTGGGTGACTTCCTGGTAACGTACTGGCTTGCTGTCCACTCATGATCCAAGACAGGAAGGGCGCCTAAACAAGTCCACAGAGTCACTGACCCTCCCTTGCCCTGCGGCTTTCGGCCCTGCAGCCTGGCTGGCGTCTCCCGAAGTGTGACCCTGGTGGTCGCGTACATCATGACGGTCACCGACTTCGGCTGGGAAGACGCCCTCCACACCGTGCGTGCAGGGAGGTCCTGCGCCAACCCCAACCTGGGCTTCCAGAGGCAGCTCCAGGAGTTCGAGAAGCACCAAGTCCACCAGGTAACTACGCTTGGGGGCTGGCAGCGGCGGCGGCGGCCCTGGGAAGATTCCTCAGTCTTTGTGCACACGCTAGACTCCTGGAGGTCGGAGAGGCCTAGAGGTCATCTGGGGCAGGTCGCCCTCATCCCCACTGCAGCCACCTCTGGCCTCTTGTTCACTGCCCTTCCCCTCGTTCCTCAGCCTCACATGGACATCTGTTTCTCTCCCTTTGGGTCAAGCACCTTCTCAGTGCGCTTGCTTTTATGTTCTCAAGCCCAAACCGGGGAGAAGCAGTCATTCTTCCTCCTTGCCCCTGGCTGGCAGCCTCAGCGCTGCACGCTCAGCACCCATATGCTCCCATTTACAGTGGCAGAACCTGCCCGTCAGGTAGTAGGTGAGGGTCCTGGGGTGCAGCTTTGTGGCATCTCGGTTTTGTTTCCACCTTCTCCAGTTCCGGCAGTGGCTGAGGGAGGAGTATGGAGAGGACCCTTTGCGGGACGCAGAAGCAGCCAGAAGCATCCTGGGTAAATATAAAGAGCAGGGGCGTGCAGAGCCCCCGCCTGGCACCAGGCGCTGGAGGAGCTTCCAGGCCCTGGCTCCTCTGCCCCATGGCAGCCACACCACGGAGACCTAGCCTGGGCCTCGCTCCTGCCACTCCCACTCGCCCTCCGTGCCGTCCTGCTGGGTACCCTGGTTGCTGGCCTGGCCCGAGGACTGGAAGTGGGTGTCTGGTGAATCAGGCCCCTCCCAAGAACCACTCCCAGCTTCTGCGCTGCCTGGATGCTGCTGCCCCTCGTGTCCTGGCGAGCCGGGGTGCGTGTGCACACCTGTGTGCACGTGCGTACGTGAGCATGTCTGTGCATGTGTGAGTGTGAACTCTGCATGTTCACGTTACGGGAACCACCACAAACCCTGCACTGTGGGACTGGCTGTGCTGCTTCTCCCAAGGCTCCACGGGGGGGGGGTGCGTTTGGAGTTGGCCTTGGGAGAGCCATTTAGCCAGGGCAGCCCGTGCCTGTGAGCAGACGGTGGGGAGGGCTCAGGGGGCAGGGGCCTCCCCGGAGCCCAGGGTGCTGGTGCCGGGCGGCAGGGGCCCAGCTGCCTCCTGAGGGTGTTCCTGGGACCCTTGGAGGCTGGGGCAGTGGTGAGCCCGGCCTCGACCCCTCCCGCCCAAGTCAGCCCCTTCTCTGCCTTTCACACCCTGAGGGCCCTTGGTGGCTGTCCTTCCGCACCAGCTTTCACCGCATGGGGAGCAGCCCCACGTCCGCCCTCTGCCTCTGTCCAGCTTCGCCTCTCCCCGCCGCCTGCCGCTCTTGCTGCCAGGGCCTCTCTGCAAGGTCTGCATGCGCCTCGGAGCTGGAAGAAAGAGCGGTTCTGGGCACCGTCACGGTTTCCGCTTGAATATGCGTTTTTGAAGTCCCTGAGCACTAATCAGGCACCTTTGTGTGTGCTGTGGATTTGAAACCTGCTCTCAGCTACCTCGTTAAGTGTTTTCGAGGTGTTTTCATTATTCCAGTCAGTTCTGCCTCACAGCTGGAACTGTTCCATCACAACTGCGTCTGAAGCCAGAGGGGAAAGGATCACATCACTGGGCTACTCAGAGCTTCTGACTTGGGCTGCAGGGGTGCCTCCTGGTGGGTAAAGTCACCAGCCAGGTGCGACCTGTGCGCGCTGAGCAGCCCCGTGGCCCAGGCCTCTGTGCTGACTCGGGTGGTCTCAGCACGAAGAGCCACGCAGATGAAGACACATACTCAGCCTCTCCCTAAACAGACGTTGCAGCCCAGTTTCTCCGAATTCCACCACAAAAGGGTCCCTGAATAAAAAGAAAGTGTGTCATAGGCGACCTCCGTCGGGGCCAGGAGAAGGGAGGCCTGCGCAGTGGACGTTACCCTTCTCGACC